TCTCTGTTCTATCCTCTTCATCTGTTGGTCTATTCTTTGTCGATACTACACTGTCTTGATTATTGTAGCTTTCTACTAAGCTTAGAAGTTGACTAGTGTCAGTCTGCTCTTCTCCTTCAGTATGTATTGGCTATTCTGGGTCTTTTGTGTCTCCATATAAACTTTGATTTCAATTTGTCTCTATCCACAAAATAACTTGCTGGAATAATGTTGGGATTGGGTTGGGTTGGGAAGAACTGACATTTGACAATATCAAGTTTTCCTATCCATGAACATGGACTGTCACTCCATTTATTTAGTTTTTTGATTTCCTTCATCAGAGTTTTGTAGTTTTTCTCTTATCTTCTATATATTTTATTAGATTTATACCTAAGTATTTTATTTTGAGGGGTTCTAATGTAAATTTGTTCATAATTTCAGATTCTAGTAATTAATTGCTGCTATATAGGAAAGCAGTGGACTTTTACACATTAACCTTGTACTCTGTAATCTTGCTATACTTGCTTATTATGTCTGAGGGTTTGTTTTTTTTTGGTCAGTTCTGTCAGATTTTCTACATAGACAATCATGTCATCTGTGAACAAAGACATTTTTATTTCTTTTCATTCTGTGTACTTTTTACTTATTTTTTTGTTTGTTTTATTGCTAGAGCTTCTGTCACTGAGCAAAGTGAGGCCTGTGCATGTGGCCCCTTGATGCATGTCCCAACAATTGGTGTTGGAAGAAACAGGTTTTTATTTACAGGGGTGAAACCTTGGAGGAGGGAGCTGAGAGCACTTCTGCTCAGAGCCTTGTTTTCCCAGAAGATCCACCACTTCCCTTGCTCTCCAGCACGCTATAAGCCAAAACCAGGCCCAGTAGTTCTCCATATTCTTATCTGTTCTTAAGCCAGCTGAGCAAACAGTTGTCCATCTCCTCTGGAAAGGACACTTGTGGGTTTCAAAGTCACCATGCTCTCACAGCAGCTCTCCCTTTCAGGATCCGGTGTACAATGTCTTTAGCCTCCATGTGATAGTTGAGGAGAACGTATGTCATACTGCACTGGATCATGGTGAAGTCCAGGAAGGCACAAGTCCCAAGAGAGTGGCTGTTCTGTATGTTCTGAGTTGTAAGAGTCCAGACAGTCCAGGTCTGTGAGGCAGCAGGTTACTGTCTTGCAATGCAGAGTCCTTGGTGGCTTCAGAGTCAGCTAGAGCAGGCATGATTTGAGCAGCAGCATGCCATTCTCTTCCTCTTGGCTGCTCCTGCCAAATCCCTCCTGGCTCATGGCTCCTTCCTCATGGTTACTCCCCTTTCTTACTAGCCCAGGCAGCATGGCCGAATCCTCAGAGGAACAGACCTACCCCCTCCCTCACTACAGGCAGCATGGTTGAATCTCTCTCACATGGCTGCCTTCTTCACTACAGATTGGCATGGTTGCTTGTTGCTTTCTTACTACAGCATGGCAGACCAGCCCCCTTCTCTCTCTTCCCACCTTATTTTAAATACTGACCTAGAGCTTCCTATGTGACCTCCTATCCAGCTCCTCCACAACGTGCTACATTTGCCAGTCTCCCTGAACCATTTACATTCTCTTGGCTGCCATCTTTAGTCAGGGCAAGAGTTCCCATGACACAAGGGCCTTCAGGAAGGCCATTCCCTGAATGCTTTCAGAGTCTGGTAGGCACCTTTTGCTGGGGGCTGTAACACAGCTATTAGCTTGCCTTTTGGTTCTGCAAAGTATCTTAAGCTGTATCATTCACTTCCCCCACCCCCAGCTGAGGTTTGTGGGGATTTTTCTATTTTCTGGTGACCCCTGCTTTGTACCCCATTACACTTCCAGTATAATGTTGGAAAGGAGTAATGTGGGGTACATCTGTACCTTGTTCCTAATCTTAGAAAGAAAGCTTCTCATTTCTTACCCTTAAGTATGTTAGCTATACATTTTTTGTAGATGTTCTTTACCAAGTTGAGGAAGTTCCTCTCTATTTCTAGTTTGCTTAGAGTTTTTATCATGAATGGATATTGGATTGTGTCAAATACTCAGCATCTATTGTTACAGCATGTGCTTTTTCTTCTTTAGCCTATTGATGTGATGGTTTGTATTAATTGATTTCAAATGTTGAGCCAATCTTGAATATCTAGAGTAAATCTCAATTGGTCATGGGAACTTGGACTAGGAAGGTGATGGAGAGAAACAGACAGATGGAGCCTGGTGTTCTTGAGGAAGAATCAACAGGACAGAATCTGTTTGTGAGAGAGGGAGGAATGAACAATTTCCAAGTGTCTGGCTAGGAAAGGTGGGTGGGTTGTGCTGCTGTTTACCGAGATGGGATTGACCATGGGAGGCACTGTCCTGGGGAGAAATCAAGTGTGATTTGGCATTAATTTTGTGGGGTGCTGCCCCTCCCTGTGATGAAAGCCCAGTCTCTGGCCCTGCTCGGCCTGTCTGTCTTGGTGTCCACAATATGATCTCTTTTGTTTCCAGAGCAGATATATTATATAAACACTGGACACAGGGTAGGGGGTCTCTGCCTGGTATAGAGATCACGGATGTGTTTCTCAGCACCCTTCTTACAAACTTTTCTGGGGTTCTTTTTATTTACAGGTTCCCTGCTTGGCTTGGCTTGCCTCTAAGAGCTACTTGCCGTGACCTATGGTCACTGAGCTGGGACTTAGACCGCTGGCCGCCCTGTTCATGGTATCACCAGGCTCTTCTTACCTGCTCTGTTCCTTACGTGTTTTAGCATTTGGTCTGTGCCTTCCATTGTGTAACGTGTGATGATGGGGACGTTGGATTCTAGCTCCTGGGTGATTTTCATGTTGGGCCAATGGGCAAAGGAAAGCACTTGGAGAGGGTAGGGCAGAATATGGGAAGAAAAGTCTTAATCATTGTCATGATTGTTCCCTAGTACACTAGATAAATTAATCCTGGGTTTGCTGCCTCATCATTTACATTATTGATTTTTATGTCCCTGGAAAGTATAGTGCTTTTACTTATCATGAGCATACTAAGAAACTCTTATTTTGTATGAATTGAAGACGCATGAGTCATTTTCTGCATGAAAACAGGATAATTATTAAAGAGATGATTACAAAATGCCAAACATCCCTATTCTTCATTTTCTCACACTTGTTAATTCAAGGTAACATTGGTGAAATTTTAAAGGACAGTTGACATTTTCAGAATACTATTCAACTTGGTTCCTTAATCACAAGGATGCCCTTGACTCAATATTTCTTCAGAGAACTTTCAGAGTGCTTTCATTCCCGACAATTCTTGGGCATCAGGTGTTAGATTGCTGCCTGAAGGTCTCTCTGTGGGGAGATAAAACATAACTGATTATACTCCTAATGTGTAATATGGCTGCAGGCACAGGCTGCACCAGCCAGCACACTGGTCTCCCTGACCACAGCACTTGCCCTAAGGGGGAGGTAGGGAACAAATCAGCCAGGGGAGCCCCAGAGGTTGTATCTGGATGATTGTCAGTTGAGCTCAATCCATCCAGAAATGAATGGATGGTTGAAGCTCCTGGTGGGTGAGGGGACCTCCATGTGGAGCCCAAATAGAGCCTATCCAGAAGCGGCAGAGCCCAGAGATGGATTCTGGTGTCGTCCTTTGGGCCCAGAATCAAGCCACTGCTGAACCTAACACCATATCTGGATGTTTGGGAACTACCATTTTGTTGTTGCTGTTGCTTTAAACCAGCTTTTGTTTTGCTTTCTGTCATTTGTAGCTGAAATATAGTTGGCATTCCTCTGATCCAAGTCCTTGCCTCAAGGCTGACTTAGAGAGGCTAAGTGATGTGTCCAAGACACTCAGAGCTGTGGAGTGTAAGAGCAGGAGGTAGGAAACCAACACTGAGGCAAAGGCTGATTTTATGACACTCTCCACTCTGGTAATTCATTTGGCCACAGATATGGGACTCTTTGGGGCTTATGTAAACATGGGACTGTACAACTTCTGATTTTGAGCCAACATGAAAGAAATAGACTTTTTTGTTGTTGGTCTGAAACCATACTCATTAAGCATGTTTATTAAGAATGGAACATGTAGCCCTGACCTGTGTGGTTCAGTTTGTTGGGCATCACCCCACAGAGCAAAAGGTTACCTGTTTCATCCCCAGTCAGGACCCTTCCCTGGGTTATGGGTTCTGTCCCTGATTGGGATGTGTGTGAGAGGCAACTAATAGATGTTTCTCTCTCAATGGATCTTTCTCTCTCTTTCTCGCTCCCTTCCCCTCTCTAAAAAGAAATAAATAAAATCTTCTAAAAAAGAAAGGAATGGAACATCTAAGGGTGATAGGGATTTTAAATTATTTTACTCTCTCGTATGTCTTCCCTAGTTCCACCTTCACCATTTACTGTTTTTCTGGTGAAAATTTTAAATAGACATCTAATTCTTTTAAGTTTTTAAAAAATGTTTTATTTATTTTTAGACAGGGGAGAGAAGGAGAGAAACATCAATGTGTAGTTGCCTCTTGTGCGTCCCCTACTGGGGACCTGGCCTGCAACCCAGGCATGTGCCCTGACTGGTAATCGAACCAGTAATCCTTTGGTTCACAGGCTGGCACTCAATCCACTGAGCCACACCAGCCAGGGCTCTTTTAAGTTTTTAAAGAATGAAAACCTCCAAGAGGAGGAAAAAGTTTGTTGCCTAGAATCTTTATTTTTTCTACTCTGGAACTTGGGAAATGTCACCAATTTCCTGCTTTGGCTGTCTTGGTGCCACCCTCCCAACAATTCCTATTATCTCTTTCTTCTGGATGTGTTTGGGACACTGCAGGGAATCTCTGCCTCTCAGCATCCCTGGTGTGAGGCACTGGGACCGCTCCTTGCTCAGGCTCCATGCACGCATGCGCTTTGCAGACCATCTGGACCTGGGACACTACCACCGAGACTCCTAAGGGGCTTTTGTCCTGTTATGCCCTGGATAATGAGTTACAGTAATTTGGAGAAGCAGGTAAACTGCCACATTCTCTTCCCTGAGGGTGCTGAGGAGTTTGTTGGATGCTTGCAGCTCACAGGCCCATCCTCTTCTGTCTATCACCCAATGGGATTCCTAGGGAGGGTTGTCCACCCCCCTGCATTGACTTGGGCAGCCCCTGGGAGGTTGTGTGTCTGTACTCACAGTTTTTGCATTCGGTGAAATCACTGAGATCAATGTCACATGATTTTGCTTCTTCCAACTGTGAATGAACCACCAGTTAGGTTTGCAGAGGAAACACAGCAGGCCACCTCCTCTTCTCCTCCTCCCCTGTCCTCCTGTCCTTCTTCCTCTTCTACTTCTGGGCCTCCTTTGTGGCAGAACTCATTCTCTCCTTCCCCCTGCCCCCAGCTGGAGGCACTGTCCTATCCTACTGCTGGGGTCTTTTGGGCCAGAGGGGATGTTGCATTCCCTAGCCTCTGGACTCCTGAAGGCCAAAGTGTCCTGTTCATGTCTCTCCCAGCCTTAGGCCATATCTGAAGAAAGGGCTTCTTCCTGTCTTCCACCCAATGACAGATTTTTTTGATGGTACCCTCCCCTTTCTATGACTTACGTTTTCTTGCAATTTAACTGTCAGCAATTGAGAAATGACATCATCCAAGGGCAGAGGGACAGGGAGAGGCAAAACATCTGTGACCCTGAGAAAGATACAGGCAGAGAGTTGCATGATTTTGCATTTTTGGATTTCACCCAAACATTGGTGATAACCCATCCATTGATGATACAGCTGCATGATGTCCTGCTGCTTAAATTTTGCAACCACCTGAGTCCTTTCACCTTCGGTTTTAGTCATGAAGGAAGATGCAGGGATACCTGGGAAAATTAGCAAAGCCGGGCATCCGACCAGCGTTCCCACATGGAGGAATTTATCCTTCAGATACTGTGCACCTCTGGGAGCACACTTGTGTGAGACCTTACATATCAGCATAGGGTACAAAGCAACTATTCTTTGTTAAGGGACCGGTTAAATAAATTATAGTGCATCTTCATAAAAGAAGTATAGGTAGAAATAACATAAGAAGCTATTTACTGATGCAACTGATTCCAAGGAATTTTTTAATGTGAAATGATTGGAGTGTAGATATTACATAATTTCTACCCATTTCTCTGTTCGTGGATGTACACACATATTAGTTGCCTATGCAGGTAATATCTCTAAAAGTCAAAAAGAAGGACTGGATTCATTGGTTGCTTCTGGGGAATATAATTAGCCAGCTGGTATACATGGTGGATGGGAGACTTCACTGTATGGCTTTTTATATCTTTTCAGTTTTGATCTAGGTGAATGCATTGCTTATGCAAAAAAACTAGAACAAAATAGAAGTGTGCTTAGTAGGTAGGATGCAGGCTGAGTGGAGAAAAGCTGTTCTGAAATATAGTAGGCTGCTCCCTAGCAGAGACCCCTCTCTGGGCCTCTGTTGATTGATCATTGAAACCATTGGGTTGACTGAGCTGATCTATGAGGGTACCGCCCTGTGTACCAAGTGGGGACCTTCCGGCACACTGGCCCATTGATCCAGAAAAGGAGAAAAATGGTCTCACGTACGTCTTCACCAACTGAAGGTACACTTTGTTGACCTTGATGTCCTTCTCCTTGACTTGGAGGTTGACACATTGGGTGCTGTTTATGGAAATCCCAATTTTCAGAGTCATGTCCCCATTCACCTGAAATCCCAGGAGGCTGATAACAGGTCCTACTAGGCTGTGGACAACAAGACACAGGTGAAACCAGACCTGGCTGCAGGATATTGCTCAGCCAAAGAGGTGTGTGTTTGGGGAGTGAGCCTCATGGGTTTGTTCAGGTTTTGGAGACGGGGAAAGCTTGGTGCTTCCCAATGAGCAGGCCAGTGCCCTGTACACGGGATTCAGAGCCTGGTTCATGGCAGGCATTGCATTAAACACTGACAAATCCCTCTCTTGGCCAAACTTCAGGAAGTCTTTTGCCAGAGGCACCAGGCTGCCTTGTATCTAGATGCCCATCACAGGTTCACATTTGTGCCTAGCACCTGGGCTGTCTGTTGTGTGGGTGACAGCATAAGAAAGACCCTCTGTATACCAGAACCAGGTCTCATTAGCACTGAATGTTCTGGAGAAGACAAATGGCTCTTCCTGCCACTGCTAGTTGTATTGGTCACAGACATGGGTTCTGGAGGCAGAATGCCTGGATTCAAAGGCTTTCCCTACCATATCTCAGCTGTGTGACTGTGAGCAAGGTTTGTAACAGGTTTGCTGGTCTGATTTGGTTTTCTAATCTTGAGACAGGGCTACTTTTCTGATGAGGTCATCAAGAGGTTTCAGGAAGGTGAGAGTGCCTCAGTTAAGTGCCTGGGTGGAGCTGGGTCAGTGAGGTATCTGTGCTGTGTGTGTTAGTGCAAGAAGTCTTCTTCTTCCCAGTGTGGACTCCTGCCCTCTCCTGTCTTCCTGTGTGCCCTGGGCTTATATGTTAACCTGTTCTTCCCCCACATGTTGACTCTCACTGGCAGGGAGCACTTCTAGTCGTCCCTCTGTGCCCAGCATGGCACCTGGTATGGAGTAGCATTTATTAACTACCTGTTAGGTGGGTGAGTGAATGTGTGCATGCACACGTTTACTTTGTTAGCTTCCTGAGTGCTGTTAAACATGTTTGTCTCTGCCAGCTGCCTAGGACCGTGTGTGTAACTGTGGGCTGATTCTCCTTAGAGAGTGCAGGTTATCTGGAAGGTGTACTTCCCGAAATTCCAGTGTTATCAGTACAAGATGCACTAAGCTGTTTCTCTCTGTGTTGGCCATCTGTATAAATGTGCATATTTCACAAGGAAATGTGATTTTCTGATTGGCTAACACTCTTTGAGGGTGGAGCTTTTATGGGGTCATTGTCCTGCCTTGGTCCTGTGGGCTGGGGAGGGGGACTACTGTGCCTGGTGCCTAATCTGCCCCAACCTCAGACATCCCGCCTTACTCTGTGCTGTCTCTGCCTGGCCCTTGAACACTGGATATGAAGGGCCTGGTCCAGGCCAACCCACTGACTGACTAGGAGACAGTCTCACCCTTTTCCACCAATGAAGGCAGTAGTCTGGGCTTGGACAAGGATCTCATTGTCCGTCATCGCTGACATCATGTCGTCCACCGTTGCTTTTTGAACCTCTAATCTGCAAAGTGACAGCATCCACAGTCAGTTCTGGCTCAAGGACTCAGCCTGAGCTGCAGGAGAAATACCCTTGAAGCAGTCAGTTAACAATCTACCAACCCATCCATTCCCTGGATTCCCCAGTCCTGTTACCCACCCAGTTCTTAAACTCAGGAAATCTTGCTCTCATTACCCCACAAAGGGCAGAGTTTTAGCCCAGAGCTGGAATATTGCTTTGTGAAAATGTGGTTGTCTCTGTCCATGGGATCCATTATGGGAAGATGAACTTGAGTATCCCGATCTTAAGCTTTCTCATGTGCCATACCTTAGGGTCAAGGAAGCACTTACCCTAGCAGGAGATCCTTCAGGTTCACACCTCTGAGCAGGCCTGAGAGTGCATCAGTGACACCACCTGGCACCACACTATTCAGTATGCCCTCAGTGGATTCTGTGAGCCCGCCCACTGTGTTGAGCACACCACTCAGGGGTTCACTGACTTGGTTGAGCACACCACTCAGGGGGAGATTAGAGAGAAGAGAAGAGCCAGCTTTCCTTGCAGGATCCCTCTTTGCACCATTGGGTAGTAGGCCTCCCAAGACCCCCTGGGCCAAGGGTATCAGGTTACCAACAGCATCAGTGGCTTTGGAGAGTGATGGCAATGGGAGATTTGAGGACTCGCTGCTGGTCCCCTTGTCTGGGGGACCACTCTGGCCACCACCACCGAGGATATTGAGTGGGGAAGTGAGGTCTAACAGAGACAGCAAGTCCAAGTTGGACACTGTTTCTAACAGTGTCCCAAGCAAACCGGCCAGATCCACCTCTGCACACTTGAGCATCTCCTCAATCTGGGGGGGCAGGGTGCTGTTCAGATCTGAAATGGTAAAGAGACACGTTCTTACCATTAGCTGCCCAGCTGGTTCAGCCAGAGGAGCCTTCCCAGCTGGAGAGCCGGCACTGAAGGGTTGGGGGCCCATAGGCACTGTCCATCCTGCCTTCTAGACACACCAATCCAATCCCTGCTCTGCCCACCTGGAGGATGGCCTGGCCACCTAGAAATATACTAGTCCCTGTTAAGAGTTAACATTTGTTAGCACATTCCTGAGGCTGGCCTGGTGTGAGTATGTTACTCTGAAGTGACTTGGGCATGGAATGAAAGGACCCTGTTTAGCTTTTGAGCCCAGTAGCCTAGAATATAACCTAGGCCTGGCTCTGCCTCTCGAAGACCAAGTGACCTGAGGCAGGGTGTTCTGTTTCCTAAGCCCCAGTCTCTGCAGCCATCCATGCGTGTGTGATGGGACCTACAGTGTGGGTACTGGGTGCTGGATGAAATGAGTGAGGAAGTAGGTGAGGGGAGTGTTGGTGGAGCTGACAGTTCTGGAGTTTCCTGGTGTCCACCTGGGTGAGTCTGTGCAAGTCCCTTCCCTTCTGCAGGCCTCATTTTGCCCTTGTGTGTCCTTGGGAGGTCCTGCATGTTGACACACTCCCTCTGCTGGACCTCCTGCATCAGCTCTCATCCTCCTGCAGCACTGTTATGGTGGGGGTGGAGCAGGTGCTAACCATGGGTTTGCCTCCACACTGGAGAGAAGCAAGTCAGGGAGAACTGGGACTTCAGAAGATGGTGGTGAGGGGAGGTAAGGGTGGTCAAGAGCCAAGTAGCAGAGCTGTGAAGTCACAGGGTTTTATCCTGTCATGCTGCTCAGAAGAGCTGTCACATCTGGAGGGTGGACAGCCTTGGCTGCCTAGCAAGAAAGTGAACTGGGCAGAGGGACAAGATTCTTGGCCCAGTAGAGTAGCAGGAGAAAGAAGTGTGCTGGTATCAGCCCCTGTCCAGCTGCTGGGCCCTGGCCTGTGGAGCTTGCCCACTGCTTCCTGTGCCCTCAGGAAGGCTTCCTGTGCCCTCAGGAAGCCTTCCTGAGGGCTCCTCAGTCTGGAGGACCCTTGCCTGTTAGGGTGATGTGGACACACCTCCATCCCCCATATGTCTTAGACAATGTCTTGCATATGTGAACCTGGAGACCCACACAAGAGTGTTTAGGTCAACATTGCTTAGAGTAGCATACAACTGCAAGAAGCAAAGTTGATGTGTAAATCGTGAAGGATTCATCAGGTAGAGTAATACAGTGAAAGGGACACAAGTTTCTCATGGATTAATCACATCACAAGCATGAGTATGAGAGCAAATGCAAGCAGGCTACCTTTTGAGAAACTTTATAACACAGAGTGGGGATTTTTAGAATGAGTAGCTGTATAACATAATGATAAAGAACTGGCAAGGGAGGAATGATCAGGCTGGAAGCTTCCTTTGGTCGGGAGGGATGGGGGGGTAGGAAGGAGATCTAGCCCAGTAGGAGCCTTGGGGCCATCAGCAGCCCTATTCTTGGTTTTATTCTTAATGTAGATGTTGGTTACAAAGGTGTTTGCTCTGTATACCTTTTCGGTTTTTGTATGTTTGACAATGAAATTCACTGCTGCCACCACCAGACACTGCTTGATGGACACACAGCTGTCCTCTGCACAACTGTCTGAGCTTTTCTGTATATGTGAAGTAATCTGTAATAAGGGGGGATGGTTGGAGGAGTGGAGCAGATGTTCCTGAGGTAGTGCAGTGGCAGGGAGCTGTGAGGCTGGGCACTGCAGTCAGCAGGCAGGTGCCAAGTTTCCCTCTGTCACCCTGTCCTGTCATGCTGGAAGGCCAACCTAGGCCCCAGCTTCAGGGCCATTAAGAGGAGCCATGTGGGCTTTTTGCTGGTCTTTGCTTACTGATGAGTCCTATTCCCTTCTTATTCCCCTCACTGAGTCACTCATTTGAGAAGTATTACAATTCCTGACTCCTTTGCCCTCTTGCTCTGGGAAATTCTGGGGGGACAGAATTCCACATCTCCTGAGAAGGGAGATTAGGGAGCACCAGTCTAGTCCAGGCTTTTCAGAGTGGCCCTGGATTTCTTATTTTCTGGCTCCTGGTCAACCAGGTTGGTGCTTTAAACACCTGTGGGTGTCTGGGCTGAGCTCTGGAGCTCAGTATTGAGAAGCTGCGATTTCCTGGTACAGTGTCCAGGTGATAATCATATAAAAGGCAGGCAACCAGAATTTGCTGGATCCAAGAGCTTCCTTCTCCAGGCTTGCTTTGACGTGTGCTATACCCAGTATGTGGACTATGAGAAGCAGCCTCAGCATCATCTTGATCTTACTAGAAAACCAATACTGCCCTGACAGGGGAGTTCAGTTGGTTAGGGTGTCATCCTGATATGTCATGGTGGAGGGTTCAGTACCTGGTCAGCACACATACAAGAATCAATCAATGAATGCGTAAATATGTGGAATAAGAAATCGATGTTTCTGTCTCTCTCTTTCTCCCCCTTTCTCTCTCTCTGTAAGATCAATAAATAAAACATGAAAAGAGAAGACCGGTACTTCTGTGGTACTGCTACAGCAGAAGGTCTGGGAGTGCGCCAGGCAGCTCTTCTGTTAAGAAGCTTTTGAAGTGACTCTGATACCACCTCCTTTTTGAGAACAATTTGTTCAGAAGCAATAACTAGCCTTTAGTCTTGGAAATGAGAAGCACATGTGAGGGGTGTGGAAGTTAAAGGTGTATAAGTAGAACAGGTCTTACTTACAGTCATTGAGTTTGCTGCTGGACATGGGGTGGTTAGCCACGGGGGGTGTTACAGGTGGGCGTTGTCTAAAGGAAGAGCTTCCTACAATTGGGGGATATCTGAAGAACTGTCCAGATTGTAGAATGGGTCTTCTTCCAGAAAGATTTGGCAACCCAGAAGGAAGGCTCAGCGGGTCAACTGCTGCTGCCTGGACAGCCAGTGTGGTGACCAGGGCCCAGAGGGTCAGCATCTTGGCAGCTGATATCTGTAAAGGAGGGAGGGCTTCGTCAGACACCACATTCCCAGTGGACCAGAGGGCTGCCAGTATGTTTGTACTGGATGTACATGCAAGGTCCTAGCTGTTGTAGGAGGGTGCCATTCACATGGTAGATATTGTAGTTTGCATAGTGTATTCAAGGGACAATGTTTCAGCCCATGGCAGTCAGTGTCTTGAGAAGGGCTTCCATTGACTTCTATTTGACCTTTGCATAAAGGTGTGTATGGGCTGGTGGCCCCCTTTGAGTTCAGGCCACACCTTTCCCTGAAGGGTCCCACATTCTCTTGCCAGTCTTTGAGTTAAACATCCTTGAAGTGGTCTGAGTCACCTCTGGGGAACTAGACAGTGTTGAGTGATCCAACTACAAGTGGTGGTCAAGGTCTCTCCCTGTTTCAGGTCAGGCAATATATAGCGGTTTCTTTGTTGGTGTGAGCTTATCAAGGGCCCATTCCTTTGTGGAGTATGAATGGTTATCAGCTGCTTTAAACTGTCTGCACATTCCCTGAGGGGAGCCCATGTCCCCATTAAGCAGGTGGTGAAACTTGTGTAGAGCAGGCAGTTATGCTTGCCTGTGCCCATTGTCCAGCCCCCTGGTAGTTTTGTCTGGTCAGGATTAAGCCACCCAATCAGCCATTCCTGGGCTTGGCACCTGCCACCTTTTTGGTTATTGGGCTGTCCTGTCATTTTAACTCAGTGTGTAGAGGCCAGAGTTACCTCCCTGTGTAAGCAGCTCAGGTCTACTCTGTCTTTCTAAGGACCATCATTCTGTTTTGGGAAAGCACTGGCATGGTTCAATGGTGGCATTAGCCAGTTCACACTATTGCACTAGTATCTGGCACAAAGTGGGCTCCCTGTGTATGAAGTGAATGATTGTGTTAACCAGGCCATCCACCTGCTGTGGCCCCTTCTGTGTGCAAGGCCATGTGTGGTCCTACTGACCCCCGGCCATGCGGCCTTTTTCCCTCGGCTGGGGTTGAGCAGCCATAACTGGAGCGCTTGTGTAAATGTGTGAGTGTCAAATCCACCTCTGTTGGTTGGGTGTGTCCATGCATATACACTTACTGAGTACTGGTCAGGGTGCAAACATCTGTAATGTCTTATATAATCCTCCCAGCAAGTCCCGGCCCTCGGTAGTGCTATTACTCCCCTTTCCAGCAAAGGCACAGAGCTGGCTTCTCTCCCGGGCAGGAAAGCCCATCTGACTCTGAGCTCAACTCTGTGACTCAGTGGAAGTCACTCCTTTCCTGACTGTCAGAGTCCTCCCTTCCTGTGCCTCTCAAAGTCCGTCTGTCTCTAGCGCTTTGGGTGACATGGAGGCTTGTGTCTCAGGGCCTTTTCCCTCAGTGGAGCAAGTAGTCTCTGGAGTTCTTCTCTGTTTGGATTTTTTCCTCCAGATGAATTTTATAAAATTGGCCTTGTCAACCTTTGTTCTTGCTGTGGGTAGGTAGGCGCTGACCACACCAGGCTGCCTGTCATTCATCAGCGTCACCAAAGAGCCCCTCTTGCAGAAATGTTGGGAAGGACATAATGGGAAGCCAGTAACAATCCTTCACATTGAACAAATTAGGCTTTATGGAAAAAAAATCGTCACATTCTCATTATTCACTAATTTTGTGCTCATCTGTGAGAAACTGGCATTTACTGTCTCAGGTGACATGTAAGTATCCTGTGAGGAAAAATAAGGCAATTCTGTGCCTGTGACTGAGTTGGTGGCAATATTGGTAGACACTGTCTTCAGTGGGACCCTTTGAGAATCCCAGTCACAAATCCCCATATTCTAAAAGCAGAGGCACAGCCGTCAGTTGTGACAGCTGGCGTGCTAGGCAGAGTGCTGCGTGCATTTCAGCCAGGAAGGGGCCTGGCTGAAGAGATTCCAAATGCAAACCCTACTGTTGTGCTTTGATGAATCTCCTATGCTTGTTTCCAGCTCCAAATTTTGACCTGTTCTTTCATGAATTTGATTCAGTGAGCTCTTACCTTGCCGGGTGTAGATGAGTCGGTGTTGATGGGTGCACGTTTTCAGAAGCCACCTCTCCTCCTGCTGTTGTCTGGATCTGTCAGGTGGAAAACCACATCCTACTTTTATAGACCAGTGTGTCTTGGAAAGTCATCAGACATGAAGACATGTGATTCAAGTGTGCTGATAAGGGTGACGTGCTACAGGCTGATTTCCAAGATGGGTACCTGCTAATGGTTGTGACATTTGTCTGTGTCTCTGTGAGAAATGTTCATGGTGCCTGGCACTTTTTCAGAGGGGGCATGCTGGCCAGGTACTGTCCCCTCCCTGATTTCAACCTTTACAGGCCTGTTATCTCTGAGTTGTGCAGCCGTGGTTGAATGGCAGAGTAGAGCTGTCTGTGAGGCCACAGATGCCCACTCACTGAGAGCCCTTCACTAAAGGTGCAGCACTGTGTCCATAGTTGGCACTCAGCACTGAGCGACCAAACTAGTGTGGGGACCCGAGGAGAGGACGTGGGGTTGCTTTGGACAGGGTGTCTGCCTGTTGGGTGACATTTTATATCAGGTGTGTATAGGAAGTATGCAAATGTGCAAATATTTGGGAGTGAAAGGATGGATGCCTGAGGACCAGAGACGTACAGGGCGTCTGCAGTGGGTGCAGCACGACTGCAGGCCTGGGGGCTTGTCAGCGTGGTTGCTCTGGCCTGAGCCCGGCCCACTTTCCTTTCCCAGAGTGCCTTTGGGAGGAGAGTGAAATGTTTTCAGACGTGTGCTGCCCTTTTTATTTGTGTTTTAGAAATTTCAATGTCTATGCTGGGCTTCCTCTCACGTGTTCCTTATTTATCAGCTTGTAAACTCCCAGAGCCCATGCTCTGGGCCTCAGGCTTTCCCCTCCTGAAGAGGGCTATTCTCGGTCATCTGTTCAGTTCCTACCACTGGAATTTTTGTCATTTTGTACATCCTGTCACAGTCCTGCTGTGTGGTGTCATCACAGCTTTAGGAGACCATAGCCTGGGAGAGGGAGATGACTCTGACAAAGCGTATGGTTAGTGTCTGCTTCTGCTCTCTTGAAGTGGGGGAGTTGGTTGGGTCCCTGCCTTGGAGCAGGCTCAGCATGGCTGCTGCCTGGCCCGCCCCCAGCCCACTGTGTTCCTCGTATTGCGAACCTCCAGTGCCGTTCCTGTTGCCAAAGGCCCTGTTTTGGGCTTTGTTGTAACGTCAGCTACAGAGAACAAATGGCAGATGACCTTTCCTCAGGGAGTAGAAGCAAGCATTTTCACACGTGTTGATAAGTGGAGACAAAGCCCACTGTCCTGGGTCTTATTTTTCTTGGACATTTGAGGAAAATTGAGTGATCATTTAGGTGAAATTTGTGACACCCATTAGTGGGTGCGGCCCTTACTTTTGATGTCACTGATGGTTTCTCTGGACCCAAAGAATGACCCCAGCTCCAGAAGTGGGGGAAAGGCGCATCCGGGGTGCAGCCTTTGATGGCCCCTTGGGGCTTCCTGGTTCCTTGTCTTTGTCTGTGCTTCAGCCTGAGGAGGCGGGGCAGCCATTGAATCTGCTAATCCAGGAAGCACGTGAAGCGGTTTCTCAGAAAGTGGCTTAGCAGGCTGAGCAGTAGGGCTCCCTTGTTGTCAAATCCTAAGTGATTTGACCTTCTGACTCTGGAAAGCGGGGGTCCTTTCAAGGCTGGCCAAGGCTTTGCTGGCATCCCAGTTGCTGGTGATAACGCTGGTGCCAATTTTTAATGGCCTGTGGGTAGAGATGTCACCGTAGGCCTTTCTGAGCTGTGCGTGTCCTGGTTCAGAGGCAACAAGATTTTGACCTTTCATGGGTGTTTCTTTAGTGAATATGCACACGTACACTTGTAGTTTTATCTGTGTTTATGTATAAACACAGCCCTCTGTAGCACTGCTGCCTCAGTGTCCTGTGGCAGAACGGTTCTTTGCTGGTAATGGGAGTTCACAGGGGCCTCATATATAGACTGTGTGTTTCTGAGTACTCTGGAGTTGTGTGTAAAATCCAGGTCAATTTTTAGTTCTTAGTATATATCTTTCATGGGTTTTTCAATGAGCCTTGTGTTTTAGCAAAGGCGATGAATCAGAGTTTAGGAAGAGGCAGAGTTTCTGCGCACAGGCTTTGAGGCCAGACTGACATGTGCGTGTGAGTCCTGGTTCAGTATGTGACCTTGGGACAGTAACTGAGGAGGTGATCTTCATTCATCCCAGAGGGTTAAGTGTCTGATGGGCACTTTGTGCTGCTTTTCCTCCGAACGCCTGCTGCGGGTTTGCCATTCTCTGGCTGCACAGTGCTGGTAGTCGGCATCGTCTTGTATAAATGCATCAAATCAGCTTCATATATCGCAGCAGGTGTCACCTTGGTGGCGTTTTCCTGTTGATTCAGCCACCTTGAGTTTCACATGGAGGAGATCTCGCTTTGCCTGAGATGGAGAGCAGGGTCCTGCCGTGAAAATCACACTGAAGCCTTGGTTCTAAGGCAGTGCTTACAACTACCGAACCACTGCGAGTGAGCAATCAGCAATGCTCCTCACCCTCGCAACAGCCCATTGTCACCGTCAGCAGCAGCGGCGGCAGCATCACCGTCATCACCCACATCCCTTTTTAGTGATGAAGAAACTGGCTTATTGAGATTAAGTCGCTCCTCTACAAAAGTGGCAGAGCTGGGATTCTAGATGTTCCTGAAACCAAAGCCTTGGCCCAGGACATGCCATTTGTCTTCTGCCACTTGTCCGTGAGGTTCTTAAGGGCTGGGGCAGGTACATCCTCGTCTTCACCTAGTGTGCAGTGAATGTCAAATAAGTGAATGAATGAACCAGTGAATGAGCCAGTATCTCTGAGGCTCAGTTTCTCTGCATGTCACATGCCTGCCTCTCCTACTTGGGGTTTATGGGAGTCAGATAGGACAGCAGCTCTGAGAGTGTGAAGTGACAGTCACACATGGGGCAGGGAGTTCCCTCCATCTTCAGGCCTCCTTTCTCCTGTCTTCACCCCTTTGCAGAAGGGCACTGGGCAGAGAGACGGGCTCCAGTGGGGTGGTCAGTGTGGACACCTCAGGGATAAACCCCCTGACTTCTCACAATAAAACAAACATTCTTATCCCTCCCCACCCCCTGGCCACCCTTATGGGGTGTCTGTCACTTTTTAGGTCTGGGCCAAGATTTTTCCTCTTAAAAATGTATGACAGCCCTGGCTGGTGTGGCTTGGTTGCCTGGAGCTTTGTCCCATAGACTGAAGGGCCGCGGGTTCGATTCCCAGTCAGGTTGCGGGCCGATCCCTTGTGGGGTCATGTTTGAGAAGGCAACTAATTGCTGCTTCTCTACCACATTGATATTTCTCTCTCACATCGATGTTTCTTTCTTACATTGATGTTTCTTTCTCTCCTTTTCTCTCTCTAAAAGCAATGAAAAAATATCCTCAGGTGAGGATAAAATATAAAAAACTGTATGACAGGATTGAGATCATGTCGCTCTCTTGCTTGACACTTGTCACCGATTCACCATTGCACACACCAGTGTTTGCCCTGGCTGTGGAGACTCTGTGTGGTTTGAGTTTGTCCTGCCTTCCTGTGTCCTCATTCCCCAACACCCCTCGCTAATCTGTTCAGCCAGACTGGCTTTCCTTTAGTTTTGGGGGGTTATACCTAGGTTAGGACCTTTCCATATTCTGCGCTCATTGCTTGAACTCTTTCCTTCACATTTTGCCTAAATTACTCATCCTGCAGGTCTCAGCTCACATACCTCCTCCCAGAGGCCTTCCCTGGTACCCCGTCTAAGCCAGGCTGCCCCTACATCAGTCTTTTTTTCAGTACACTCCTATGGTTTTCCTTTTTGGTCTTTCTTGGAATTTGTAGTCATGTGTCCGTTTGTTGGCTGATTTGTTTCTTGTCATCTCTCTTATAAGCCTCATGAGGGCAAGAAGTGTTCTTGCCTTGTTTTTGCTCAAGCGGAACAAACTATGTGCTAAATCATATTATTTATTTAGATTTTATTTATTTTTAGAGAGAGGTGAAGGAAGGGAGGATGAGAGGGAGAGAAACAATGATTGGCTGCCTCTCGTACCTGCCCCGACCAAGGGCTGGGACTGAACCTGTAACCCAGGTATGTACCCAGACCTGGAATCAAACCAGCAACCTTTCGCTTTGTGGGATGATGCCCAACCAACTGAGCCACACTGGTCATGGCAGATCATATTTATTTATAAATGAGAACATTTTCTACCTATTGGTAAAAGTCAACCATGTTCAACAAAAAAAGTTTCGAAAATATATTAAGAAAAAAACACTTTTATAATCTTAAAACTGTGATTCAACAATCACAGCCAGCATTCTGAGTTAATTTATTTTAATCTGGAATTACATGGTAAATCATCTTGCATACTGATTTTTTAGCGAGCATTTGCTTTTAATATCAAATGCTCTGTAAAACATGATTTTAAGAGCTGTGAGATATTTCTCATTAAGAATTTCTTTAAAAAAAATAAAAATCTTATCCTGACCAAGTTGGTTGGGCATTGTCCCGTAAAGTGAAAGGTCACTGGTTCGATTCCCGGTCAGGGCACATGCCTGGGTTGCTGGTTTGGCCCCTGTTCAGGGTGTGTACAAGAGGCAACTGATCCATGTCTCTCTCTCACATCAATGTTTCTCTCCCTCTCTTTTACCGTCTCTTTCACTCTCTCTAAAATAAAAAAAAAATCCTGTATTGTTGGACATTTCAATTTTTTACTATATAATTGATTCTGTGGTAATAGTTCTTGCCCTTATATCTTTATCTGCACCTCTGATTAATTTTTACTAACTCCTCAGTAGGGTTAATTTATCATATACATTTCTAAGAATATGAATATTTTTAAGATTTTTTATTTGAGTGAGATCTGGCTTGCTGTTGCCAACCTCAAGCATTTGGATTTATTGTAGGGGAAAGTGTGTGTCAATGAGTGAAATATCTGAGTTACAAATTTACTCAGGAAAGGAGAGCAGTGTGACTTTGCTGAACATCTTCAGTTAGGTTTTGTTTGTTTTAAGGCATTATGTAAAGGAACTCTCTGCTTTGATAAACCAATGAGGATTATTTGTCCTTGGAATATATCTTTACGTAAGTGGGAAATCTGAAGTCCTCGGTCCCTGCCTCTCCTCTTGTTTTCACCAATGTTGTATTCTCAGGTGTGTGTGGGGCCTAGATTAGCAGTGATAAGTTCATCCATCCATCACTCACTTGTCTGTCCATCCATCCATCTATCCATCCTTCTTTCTATCCATTTATCCATTCATCTATCCACATATTTCTCAGATATTTATTAAGCACCTGCTATATGCCAGGTACCAGGGATGCGTCCGTGAGCCATCATTTCTGTCCTCGTGACTTGTGGTGAGAGAGACAGACGCAGATTAGTACAAGGGGGGACCCAAGAAAGAACCTGGAATTTATTTGTAAAAAATTGTGTATTTATTCTTACATGTTTAAACTTCAGTCACCATCAAAGTACTCTCCATTTGACGTAGTACACCTATTGAGATGAAACCCAACTCACTGATTTTCATGCCTTTTAGTGCTTCTGCTTTTTTTTTGTTTGACCTCTTCCACATTGGCGAAATGTTTCTCTGTGAGGTCTTTTTTCATTCAGGGAAACAAACAAACAAAAAAACATGTTTGGGGTGAGTTTGGGTGAATAGGGAGAGTGGGGCATGGGGGTCATGCCTCTTTTGGTAAAAACTGCTGAACACTCAGCACAATGTGGGTAAGTGAGCTTGTAAATCACCCATTATGAAATGGGGAAACGTGCTGAAAGAGTTAAAAACAGATCACTGAAGCCAAACACAGTCTCTCACAACAATGCCAGCTGGCACCCTGATACAGATGGGTTTCTAGACCACTCACCTAGTGGGGAAGCCTGCACTACAAGGAGCCCAGGTTCCAGAAGATAATTCTGTTTCTTTTGGGTCTCCCTCATAAACTGTCTCTTCAATAAAATAATATGTTGTGCTAAGTGTTTTGAAAGAGATGGAGAGTTATTATGGGAGTGGTGGAGGACTTCTTAGATGAGGTAATTTCTAAGTTTACTTAAAGTATGTGAGGAAACTACCCACGCAGGGTCAGGGGAGGAGGGAGGGGGAGAGGCCTGTGCATGCCTGCTGCCTGCAGTAGGGAAGAACTGTGGAGTGTTTTGGTGTGTCTGGGCAACTTAGCACAGAGCAGGGTGGGAAGGAGGGTGGGGAGGAAGAAGGGACTAGACACCCAGGCCCAGGACTGGGTCAGGTAGAGCCTTGTGGGCTATGGTTAAGATTGTGGATTTAATTCTGAGTGGGATGGGAAGCTATTGGAGGGTTTTAAACAAAAAGTGATGATTTGGTTTATGTTTTGAAAATCCCATGCTGGCTGCTATGTAGAGTGTAGGCTGGAGGGACAGAGTAGAAGCAGAGAGGCTTTTTGGTGGATTTGATAGTGATTTGGACAGCAGGACAGCAGGATCAGTCTAGATGTTGGACTAGTGGGGAGGAATTGGAGACTTCATTTGCTTTTGGCCTGGGCCACTAGCTGGGGGATGGCGGGACCTCGTCATGGGTGTGTAAGAGAGAGAGCCTTCCATGTTCTCCCTTCTCGGTCCCTCTCTTTCTTCCAGTGAGTTTCCCCCCATTCTTTGGGTGGTTGTCCCTGCTGTGAAAAGGCATCTGTCTTGTGTTCACTTCCCTCAGTACTCTGCTCCTTGGTTCTTGGTGGCTCACACACTGGGGCCTGCCTCCTGGGGAACTCAGTGCCTGAACTCTGGAGCACAGAGGTTCCTCAGAGGTGCTTGCCTTGGGGGTTAGGAGTGGTGCTTGAGGGGGCAGAACCACAGCCCCAGCCTCCTTCTAACCAAAGCCACTCTCTTGTCATCTGTTTTATGTATGGGGTTTGTTTGTGAGCTTTTATTTCAAGAAGAGGATCATTAGCCTTGAAAATTTTGAAAACCACTTCTTAAAAGGTGTGTTTCCTTGGGTAGACCTCTAGGAGCGATGCCAGTGGGGAAGACTTTAGGCCACCAGAGCAGGTGAGTGGGAAAGGTGTTTTGGGCTGTGTGTTATCTGGCTGAGCTTAGAAACCTGGGGGTGGGGATGGGGGGCCCAGAGAGGCCATATGGAGTGGGGGGAGCAGGAAGGTGGTCTTTGGAGCCAGTGTCCTGACTTTCAGCATCAGAAGCGGTGTGAGCTGCCTGACTTCGCAATGGGGGTCATTGCACACACCCTGTCAGGTACCAATGACTGTCACCCCAAAGAATGCATGGGATAACAGGTGTGAATGCCTGCAGACTGCAGAGTGAGATGCACCTGTCAGAGTCATGGGAGGGGAGTGAGGGGCTTCGGTGGCTGGAGGAGAGGCTCTCCCAAGCCTGGATAGGTCTGAGGAGTAAGCTGAGGTCTGCCTAGCTTTCCTCAAGGTCCTGAGGAAGGCCGTATTTGTTCATTTTGTACTCAGCATCTACCATGTGCCAGGCATTGTGGTCACACACAGGTGGGCAAATGCTGGGCTTGGGGTAGGAAGATTCAGCTCTTTCTTGGGAAAGTGTGTCCCGGCCTCCAGCTTATCTTACATGTGACACACACACACACACACACACACACACACACACACACATATACACATACATACTAAAGGCTGGAAGATTTTGCAAGGCTGAAATGCAGGGCTGTCCTAGCTAGAGACCTTGTGGGGGCTGCCAGTTGGGGAATTTTTTTCTTCATTGTTAGGCTTATGGTTCATATTTGAAAAAAAGTTTTCGAGTCAAGTAATAAACCCACAGCATGGTTTGCTCTTGGCTCCAAACCTTTACTCCAGGACAAGGACTCTGCACCAGTCCTTGCGGTTCCTTCCATGATGTGTGCTGCATGGGAGAGAACTGGCCTGCAGTGGGGCCTCCCCACCCAGCTCTTGTTTCCAGAGGCCAGCTGAGGTTACTGAGGGAGATGGACCCTAGTTCATGCCCTGGACAGAGATCATGATGAGCCTCTATCCTGCCTGTGGTGGGGATTTTATCACAATCTAAAATTTCTTTTTATCATTTTTTTTCCTGGGTCCAGGCCTAATTTGCTGTCAGCTTTGGCTGGTGTCCTGAAGTAAGAGGGTCATCTCTGTGCTTTGCTATCTCTTCATGTTTGGCGAGTATGGAGCTGTTCTCATCTGACCGCAAAGGCCTCTGGTTCCTTGCCTTTCTCAGCTCCCTGCCCTGCCCTGCCCTGCCCTGCCCTGCCCTGCCCTGCCCAGGCTACAGGGAGGGAGGGCTTCTGGCCCTCTCCCTGGAGGCCAGTGCTTGTGGGCACATGACAGTTCTGCTGCCCGCCACACCTTTCAGGGCTGCAGGAGCTCAGAGGTGTGGTTGTGAGGTGCGGCATCTCACAGTCTCCCACTTGGAGCCAGCTTTCCTCTTGGGTGGTCTGGCAGTTTCCCTTGGCCCCTTTCCCTCATATTCAAGACCTCCCAGATATCTCTGGGTTTTACAGTCCCTTCTTTTCTTAGGGATCCCGAACTTCTCTTTCCTGCTTCCTTCCTTTCTCTCCCAGGGAACCTTTTCTGCATGTGTAGATTTTCTGTGTGTCTTTCTACACCCCATCCTATCAGGGCCTGAATTTGGGAAACTCAGGCCCCTTTTCCATTTTCTGAGGAACCTCCCTTTTCTGAGACACTGACCACTGAATTCAGAATATTCTCCGAGGGGCCTGGTGAAATCAGAACTATCAGGGAGAAAACTTTTTTTGAACATTTCAAGCTGGCCTCGTCACCTCCTGGAACCCCTTAGGAACCTCAGAACCAGTTACTTTCAGTAACTGTAAGATGCTCTCAGGCCATCTTTTCTATATTCTCTCCAGTCTTAGAATTAGCATTTTCCCTAAGGAGTCCTGATTACTTTTCTGAGGAATGGCACCAGAAACCAACATCTGGGTGCTGGGTATACATTTTGCCAATTTGAATGGGAGGGTGTTTTGTTTTTCAATGGAGTTGAAATTCATATAACATAAAATTAACCATTATGAAGGGATCGGTTTAGTGGCATTTACTATATTCAGAGTGTTGTGCAACCACCATCTTTGTCTAGTCCCAAAAGATTTCCATTAATGAAAATAAAAGCGCATCCTTACTAAGCATTTATTCCCTCTTACCTACTCTGTTCTCCTGGCAACCACAACTTTGCCTTTTGTTTCTATACATGTAGTTGTCCTGAATATTTCTTTAAAAAAATTTTAAAGCCTTTGATGAGGAAATCTACCAAAGGCTTTTTCAAAAAATTATTTATTTTTAGAATGAGGGAAGGGAGGGAGAAAGAGAGGGAGAGAAACATCAATGTAAAAGAGATGCCTCTCGTACGCCCCTAACTGGGGACCTGTCCCACAACCCAGGCACATGCCCTGAATTGTACTGGTGACCTTTTGGTTCTCAGGCCAACACTCAATCCACTGAGCCACACCAGCCAGGGCTGAATATTTCATATATTTCATATAAACTGAATATTTTGTACTGTACAATATGTCATCTTTTGTGTATGGCTTCATTCATTGAGTATAATTTCAAGACACTGGGCACAGTTTTTATGGTTTCACCAGGCTGTTACCTGCTCTGTTCTATCCAGGGTTGAGCATTGGGCCCATGCCTCTCGATGTGTAACATGTGATGTTGGGGAGGTTGGGTTCTAGCCCCTGGGTGATTTTCATGTTGGGCCAATGGGCAAAGGAAAGCACTTGGAGTTGGAGAGGGTCAGGGAACAGAAGTCTTAATCATTGTCATGATTGTCCCCTAGTACACTAGATAAATTAATCCTGGGTTTTGTTACCTCATCATTCACATTATCAATTTTTATGTCCCTTGTAAGTAGTGATTTTACTAGTCATAAACATATGATGAAGCTCCTATTTTGCAGGCATTGAAGACATGTAAGTAATTTTCTGCATGAAAACAGGATAATTATTAAAGAGATGATTACAAAATGCCAAAAATTCCTATTCTTGATTTTCTTGCACTTGTTAATTCAAGGTAACATTGGTGAAATTTCAAAGGACAGTTGACATTTTCAGAATACTATTCAACTTGGTTCAGTGTTGCTTGAGAGGTTTCCAAGTGCTTTCATTCTTGTCAATTCTTGGGTATCAGGTGTGCTGGGTTTAGATTGCTGCCCAAAGGTCTCTCTGTGGGGAGATAAAACATAACTGATTATACTCCTAATGTGTAATGTGGCTGCAGGCACAGGCTGCACCAGCCAGCACACTGGTCTCCCTGACCACAGCACCTGCCCTAAGGGGGAGATAGGGAACAAATCAGCCAGGGGAGCCCCAGAGGTTGTATCTGGGTGATTGTCAGTTGAGCTCAATCCATCCAGAAATGAATGGATGGTTGAAGCTCCTGGTGGGTGAGGGGACCTCCATGTGGAGCCCAGATAGAGGCTATCCAGAAGCGGCAGAGCCCAGAGATGGATTCTGGTGTCGTCCTTTGGGCCCAGAATCAAGCCACTGCTGAACCTAACACCATATCCGGATGTTTGGGAACTACCATTTTGTTGTTGCTGTTGCTTTAAACCAGCTTGTGTTTTGCTTTCTGTCATTTGTAGCTGAAATATAGTTGGCATTCCTCTGATCCAAGTCCTTGCTTCAAGGCTGACTTAGAGAGGCTAAGTGATGTGTCCAACGCCACTCAGAGCTGTGGAGTGTAAGAGCAGGAAGTAGGAAACCAACACTGAGGCAAAGGCTGATTTTATGACACTCTCCACTCTGGTAATTCATTTGGCCACAGATATGGGACTGTTTGGGGCTTATGTGAAAATGGGACTGTACAACTTCTGATTTTAAGCCAACATGAAAGAAGTTGATTTTTGGGGGGTCAGATATCATGTTCATTTAGCATGTTTATTAAAAATGGAACATCTAAGAATGATAGAGATTTTAAACTTCTTCACTCTCTCATATACCTTTTGTACTTCCATCCTCATTATTTTCTTGATGTCAAATTCACATAAAAATCCCTTTCTTTTTTCTTTTTTTTTAAGATTTATTTATTTTCAGAGAGGGAGGGGAGGGAGAAAGAGAGAGAGAGAGAAACATGAATGTGTGGTTGCTGGGGGCCATGGCCTGCAACCCAGGCATGCACCTTGGTTGGGAATCGAACCTGTGATAACTTTGGTTCTCAGCCCGTGCTCAATCCACTGAGCTACGCCAGCCAGGGCTAAAAATCCCTTTCTTTTAACCGTCTTTTTTTTTTTTTTTCTTTAAGGAAGCAAGTTCTCCTTCAAATTTCCTTTGGGTATAGGTAGACAGATGGGGATAAGGGGGGTATTTACTCATGTGTCAGGGTGGCAGAGACTGAGAGGCCTCAGCACACGCAAGGTGACAGTTCAGATGAGTCAGTCATGTGTAGTGGGCATGTCTCCAAAGAGATGACATATTCATCTGAAAGGCATATTCAGTTAATTATGGGTCCTCATGGGGACAGTACACAGATTATTTGATTTTAAGACCAAGAGTAGCCCTGGCTGGTGTGGCTCAGTGGATTGAGTGTGGGCTGTGAAACAAAGGGCCACCGGTTGAATTCCCAGTCAGGGCACATGTCTTGGTTGCGGGCCAGGTCCCCAGTGGGGGTCATGTGAGAATCAACCACACATTGATGTTTCTTTCTCTCTCTTTCTCCCTCCCTTCATCTCTCTCTAAAAAACGAATAAATAAAATTTGTTTCTTGAAAAAAAAAAAAAAAGACCAAGAGTGTCATGGTGTTATGACTTATATGGTGAATAAAGGGACAGTGGATCTGCCTAGGAAAGAGTCAGGAGATGGGATGGAGCTGTTAGGGCAGCCTGGAGCTGCCTGTGATGCCAGGGCCCACTGGCCCCATTTAGTCCTTTGGAGACTGAAGTGCAGAGTGGGCTTTAGTGCAAAAGGAAAATATTTGTATTTCTTTATCTCTTACCGAGTTAAGTAGTTCAACCTTGGCATTGGTTAGAAGATTTGAGGTTATTCCTGGTGGAATATTCCATTGATTGGAAAATTCTGAAATAAAGAAGGAGCATCTTATGATACGTGTTGAAAAAAAGCAATGACAGGGCTGGGTTGTTTCATCCACAGTCTACTGAGGGCGTTTCTGGGCAGTGTGTGGGTCTAGGAAAAATCACCCCTGCCCATTCAATGGAGACATTTAAGACATTGTCTCTCTCAGTCTTTTGGGTGTGTGTTGGTGAGTTTCCAAGGATTAGAAGAGACCCTAGAACTAACTGGAAACGTGGCGAGCTTTCTATGCACAAGGAATTGATACCAAGAGATACTGTATCTTGCTGTGTATAATGCACACTTTTTTGCCCACATTATTTGAGGGAAAATAGGGTGTACATTATATAGGAGTATAATGATTACCTACCATGGGTATAATAATCCCATGTATAATATGCACAAAAACATGAGTGTACCTTATACACAGCAAAATATGGTACATTGGCATGTCTGCCCTCACTATCTTAAGAAACCAGAAGAATTAGCTTCTGCAGTTTTGGTGACATTTTGTACTATAGTGGTCCCCTGTAGAGGTCGTCATGAATACGTACAGGTGGCATTTTGCACTATCATCTCTCGATGGTCATTAGGGTTACAACTTCAGACTCTTTACTGTCCCAAACCCTAGTGTCTGTGTGACTAGAGACCTGGGTCCGTCTTTCCTCTAAGTGGCATGATGCTGTTGTTCTGAAGATACCTAGGGGACTGGATTTCATTTGAACCTGTCGAAGAAACATTTTGATTTGGTTTTTATGTTTTGCTATCTCAAGATGCCGAAGTCTCTATCTGAAAACAAAGAAGTGCTTTTCAACCCAGATGGTGATCAGATGTACTGTGCTCTCTGCCACGACATGTTCTGTGGTGTGACTTCACACCCTTGTACATTGCTTGGGACACTAACTCTCCCAGGTGTTCATGTTGATTCTACATACCAGTAATGGTAGATACAAACTTCTTCATAACTGCAGACATCACATCTTCTACCTCGTCCATCTGGAAGAGATGGGAGGGACATTTTTATCAGTAAATCTAGTAGTCCTCCAGTTAGTCCTCACATCGGGGAAAGCAGTCTTGGGTCCCTCTGTGTGTGTGTGTGTGTGTGTGTGTGTGTGTATTTTTTTTCCCCCCAGTGGAAGAAGTCTCTTACTGGACAAGGCTATGTGGGGAGGTGGGTCTCAATCTAACTCTTAGGACTCTAAATTTTTGGGGATTTTCAAAAACCCTTAGGTAACCCCGACAAATGCTTTTTGGGTTCTTCTTATATCCCAGGCACCTCTGCTCTAGACAGAGGTGTGCAGCTGCGTGCCCTCAGGACAAATACCGAATTCAGTATTGGGGAGGACTGGTTGTTGCTGAATGCTTCCTCTTTTGTGTCCTATCCAAATCCCTCCCTGATCCGGTCCTCCCCGCTGGGGTCTACACACCTTCCTCCCTTTGCCTTCCCCTCCTCATCATGGCTGTGGTTCCATGCTGCCTTCCCTCTGCACAGTCTGTTTCCTTTACCTGGTATACATGTACTTTTCATCTGTGGTAAATACTTCAAGCCTGAGTTCAGGCATCATTGTTTTAGTGAACCCACTGTCTGCCTCCCCGCTGGTTCTCCTCCACTCTGTCTTCTTCGTGCTCAGTGGACAGCTATTTGCATAAATGTCCGTGTCCCTTCAGAAGGGTAGTTACTTGAGGTCAGGGACCATGCCTTCTATTTTCCTTTCATGACACAGAGCCTGGCATACCCCATACCTCCCCAGTAAAAATGAGACGAAGGAACTCTGGGCTTGCCATGACTCCCAGAGTTTGCCTCTTGATGGACTCAGCATTACCTGAAGGCTCCCATATAGGACACAGATCGTTCACACAAAGTCATAAGGTCGTTCCCCTCTGGGTGCCCATTGTGTGCTTCCACCCAGTGTGTGGCTACCAGTCACTTAATGAATGGTTGGGCTTGTTTATTCCTTTAATCTGTCTCTGTCTTCCCAATGAAGCCAGAGGGTCACTCCTGGAGTCAGGAAGTTGCATTTTTAGAGCCGGGCTCATAGTGCTGCTCACTAAATGTTTGTTGGATGATGGCATGAACATGTGCAAGGTCGAATGTGTTAAACATGGGGTTGGCTGGTAAATCTTTCATGAGTTTCCATCCTTGTGCTTGGAGCCTAGACATGGGTGCTCCCCTCACTCTTCCCACTTCCCTCTGCTGATCCATGCGCTTGCTCCGTAGGACATGGATTGAAAACCTCAGATGGGGAAGGTGAGGCCATGGGAGGCTGGGTTTGTTTTTGAGCAACTCCCATGAGCTGAGGCAAGGCTAGAATCTAAATCATTTTTCATCCTTCCTGTGGACCCCGAGACTTCCTGGTGTATCAGAACGACACATTCCACTAAAAAAGCATGGACTTCAGGCTTGCCTTCAGGTCAGTGGCTGAATGGGGCACTGCAGCAGTGGACTTAGGGAGCCAGTTTTACCAGTTCTCCTGAGAAGCCTCAGCGTGGAGCTCGCAGTCCTGCTTCGCATTGGGTCTGTGATCTAGTCTGTGTGACCTTTTCCCTTTCAAAGTCCCTGTGTCACTAAGTGTCTGGGTTTAAAGTGATTTCTCATACATCATAAATAGTTTGAAAATCTAATCAACTTACAGCCTCGGGGGGGTTCGTGCTGTGCACAAAGCTGTCAGGAAACAAAGTACAAGGAAAAATTATTTTCAAATAAAAAATATGAACTAACTCTAAAGTAGAGTTTAAGTATTAGCTCAGTTACTTAGTAAAACCATTTATAAATTATCAGATACAGACAGGTGAATACAGCATGTAAGTAAATCTTTGTTCTGAGTTCCCTGTAAGTATCCAACTACTTCCCAAGGGCCTTATCCATTATTCTTCTCATGTGATTTGAGTAGGTTCTTGATATTGTAGTACAACTGATAAATGTCAAGAGGAATTTGTATCTATGGACAGTACCTTAGAATCCTGAGGTCTGCCATCAATGTTCCTCTTACAATCTTCCATGCATAGGAGATGAAAAACCTCTGAATTCATATAAGACAAATGAGTTAAAAATAATACCATGACCACGCTACTCAGCAGACACGTCATGTTGTGATAGGACAAACAAGGCCACAGGTCAGAACTAGTGTGGAGACTGTCTGACCTCAGGAGATGACCTGTTTGTTCTGCCCTGGAGGCTGAGCCCACCAGACTGATTGATCTCCCTTGTCTTAGGGTCACCCAGGCCTGTGGCCCTCAGGGTTAGGGTAGTAACTCCCCTTATCAGATGCTGTTTTTTTCCATGTAACTTCTGCTTCTACTGGTTTCTCTTTGCAACTGAATCCTGATTTGTTGCTACTCAGCACTCACCGTTAGCCCTTGGGCAAAGATCTCACCATCCTTATTCACGTTAACCCAGTAGGTGACTTGCATTTTGTTGCCTGGCAGGCTGAAGTACAGTATTCTGGTGATATGGGCATTCAGGTCATTCATCTGTTGTAGAGAAGTCATCAGTTAGAGTGTGGAGAAGAGAGGAAGGACTGCAGCATGTTGCATTCTGAAACAACCACACACCATTCAACTTATTTATTCAAATATTAATTGATCCTGTAGTATGAGTTGGTCACCTCACTGGGTGCTGGCGTGGCTGAAGTGACCACACAAACAAGGTCTAATTCCAGACCTTGCCGTTTATCTCATTTTCTTTCTTGGAAGGACAGTGGTACCTACACTAGACAAAATTTTACTTTTCCATTGCTTCTCATCCAATTTAAAGACTGTTTCTTTTTATGGCCTAATGCCCGGCCACTCTGTGCTTGAGTATTTTGGGCGACTTTATTAAGGATATGTTTTAGATTGCTTGAAACAGAGCCCAGCACATAGAAAGTACTCAGTGATCATTGTTTCATTAGAACCACTGTCTCTATTCCTTTGACCACTGGGAGCAAGTGAATACCTCACATGTAGAGTAACCCCCTCCCTTGCTCCTGCTGTGACTCCTGATAAGTTACTTCTCTCACATTGGTCACCAGCAGAATGGGAATAAGAATCCCTACCTCCCAGATCTGTTGTGAGGATGAAACGTTGTTCATTATCTAAGGACAACTGGCTTTGTACCTGGCACATAGAAGGCACTGAGGAAACACATGTCCTCCGGTGCCCTTGCTCTCTGCTTTCCCGATATACACAGGATGCACATATATGTTCATTAAGAGGAAATATGTATCCCATTTCCTCACATTCATCTCTGGAACAATGTTCCAGAGCCCATTTCTACTTTCTCACACTAGAGGTTGACAGACTAGGCTTAAACACAACGGACAGGGGTGCCAGGGGCCACGTGGATGATGCTTACCTTGACGGAGCTCTGCTTGGCACTGACAGTGATGATCTCCCTGAGCATTGTGTTCGATAGAGTTATGGCAATGTTGGCATTTTTAGGATCTGGAGGAAGGAGACTACTAGGTGTGAGGACTTTCCCGTTAAAGAAAGCCTAGAGAGGGAAAACCAGAAATCATCATCATCCTGTGAGACTAAGATCAATTTCAGTGCCTCTGGAGTTCCAGCTGAGAGGTGGAGGAGTGAGGCGGCTCCATGTGGGCACTGCCATGGAGGAGCGTGAAGACGAAGAGCAGTAGACCTCCCCAGCCTCTGCTGAGGGACAGTGGGGGGTCGTAGGGTACCTGGGGACTGGAGAAGGACCTCCTTGTAAAGGAGGAAGCACTGCTTTTCTTCGGCTGATTAGCCCTGATGCCGTGCAAATCAGGCCCCCAGACTTTTGATTTTCCAAGAGAAGCCACAAATTCTCATTTTTTTTCAGGTGAATTCCCCCATTTAAGTGTTGCTTCAAGTAAGGTGTGTGTGTGTGTGTATGCATTTGTTCATAACTCAGTTCCTACCCTTTTTTTTTTCACATGTTCTCCCAACCTGGAAGGACCTCCTTGTCAAGCTCAAGGCCATCTTGTCTATGACACCTTTCCATAGATATTCTGACCTCCATTGAATAATTGCATTTCATATGCATTTTCCCCTCTGCTTATAAAATTCAAACTCTAGAAGGCAGGAAATTTGAAAAGTTCATTGAAGTATGAAGAAGGGAAAAGGGATCTTGGGTGACATCTGATATTTCTCCTTATTTTTTGTTGGCATACCTAATATAATTTTTATTTTACTTTAAAGAAATTAACAGTACCTTCATAAGCATTTTGAAAAACTTCTAATGATCTCATACTTGGCTCAATTATTTCCTTTTTGTTCCATTCTAGCTTTTCTCCTTTTCTCATTGTTAATATTTGTATTTCTTTGTCTTTAAATACATGTCCACTTAGGATGTTTGTACAAATGGATTTTCAGAAGTGCAGTGAAGTGGGTCAAAAATCTTGCCTTTCTTCAGTATTCCTTGTGGTTGGGATGGCGGGGTGGGGTGAGTTGGCCCTTTTTGTTGTTTTGTGTATTTTCCCATGTGTGTCTAGACCTGTGCTTACCACATCCTGTTGATCAAGAAATGATTGTCATTCTTGGAATGCCTCTTAGGCATTGTACATTGGACTTAAAAGGAAGGGAAAACATGGCTGACCCCCATGTCAGATGCTCAAGTGTTGTGGTGGAAGCCTGGGGATCCACCCCATGGTAAATATCTGGGGTCTAAGAAGGGATGAAGGTTGGTTTGTCATGTCATTAGAGTATATTTTGAGTTCAAGGGTGTTTCCAGCTTTCTTGCAGAATTTATCATAATAACAAAGAACACTTACACAGTAGAGGATTGAAAGACCTTGTTCAGATGCCTGGAGACTTCTAATGTAGTACTTGAACAACTGAGTAGCTGCAGGAGAGAGGAAAGAGAGAACGTGGAGGGACCCAACATAACAAGTGTTGTGTCCTGGGTTCTCTGCCTGGCTTTGCCCTCCAGGTGGGAGACCACCCCATTCCCTCAAACCCTGGCAGAAAGCTAGTGCCACACTGGCTTATTCTTATGAGTCTTGGAAGAATCTTCAGGGAGTAAGGTGACACAAGAACTCGGCCCTGTCCCTAATATGCCACAACTGCCAGGTGTAGGACAAGGTTTGTTGCCCATGCCCTGTGTTTTGTCTACTCTGCAACTAGGCACTGTCACCAATTTCCGGTTTTGGCTGTGTGGTGTCAGCTGATTAATCAAGTCCCATCACCCCTGTATACATGGACATATTGGAAGAAAGCTCCGCCTCTTAGCCTCCCTGGTGTGAGGCACTGGAACCGCTCCTTGCTCAGGCTCCATGCATGCTTGTGCTTTGCAGACCATCTGAGCCTGGAACACCACCACTGAGATTCCTAAGGGGCTTTTTGTCCTGTTATGCCCTGGATAATGAGTCAGTAATTTGAAGAAGCAGGTAAACTGCCACATTCTCTTCCCCTTCCCTGAGGGTGCTGAGGAGTTTGTTGTTGCAGCTCACAGGTGCATCCTCTTCTGTCTGTCACTCAATGGGATTCCTAGGGAGGGTTGGCCACCTCCTGCATTGATTTGGGCAGCCCCTGGGAGGTTGTGTGTCTGTACTCACGGTTCTTGCATTCGGTGAAATCACTGAGATCAATGTCACATGATTTTGCTTCTTTCAACTGTGAATGAACCACCAGTTAGGTTTGCAGAGGAAACACAGCAGGCCACCTCCTCTTCTCCTCCTCCCCTGTCCTCCTGTCCTTCTTTACTTCTGGGCCTCCTTTGTGGCAGAACTCATTCTCTCCTTCCCCCTGCCCCCAGCTGGAGGCACTGTCCTATCCTACTGCTGGGGTCTTTTGGGCCAGAGGGGATGTTGCATTCCCTAGCCTCTGGACTCCTGAAGGCCAAAGTGTCCTGTTCACGTCTCTCCCAGCCTTAGGCCATATCTGAAGAAAGGGCTTCTTCCTGTCTTCCACCCAATGACAGAGATTTTTTTGATGGTACCCTCCCCTTTCTATGACTTACGTTTTCTTGCAATTTAACTGTCAGCAATTGAGAAATGACATCATCCAAGGGCAGAGGGACAGGGAGAGGCAAAACATCTGTGACCCTGAGAAAGATACAGGCAGAGAGTTGCATGATTTTGCATTTTTGGATTTCACCCAAACATTGGTGATAACCCATCCATTGATGATACAGTTGCATGATGTCCTGCTGCTTAAATTTTGCAACCACCTGAGTCCTTTCACTTTTGGTTTTAGTCCTGAAGGAAGATGCAAAGATACCTGAGAAAATCAGCAAAGCCGGGCATCTGACCAGCGTTCCCACATGAAGGAATTTATCCTTCAGATACTGTGCACTTCTGTGAGCACACTTGTGTGAGACCTTACATATCAGCATAGGATACAAAGTTAATCATTGGAAAAAGCAACTATTCTTTGTTAAGGGACTGGTTAAATAAATTACAATGCACCTTCATAATGGAGTTGTAGGTAGAATTAACATAAGAAGAAGCTACAGATGCAACTGGTTCCAACCCATTTTTTTAATGTGAAATACTTAGAGTACAGATATTATATAATATCTACCCATTTCTATGTTTCTGTATGTATACACATATTAGTTGCTTATACAAATAATATCTCTAAAAGCCAAAAAGAGGGATGGATTCATTGGTTGCTTCCAGGGAGTATAATTAGCCAGCTAGTGTGTATGGGTTTACAGGAGACTTTAGTGTACAGCTTTTTGTATCTTTTGAGTTTTGATCCAGGTGAATGCATTGCTTATGCAAAAAACTAGAACAAAATACAAGTGTGCTTAGTAGGTAGAATGCAGGCTGAGTGAGCTGTTTCCAAGCAGAGACCCATCTGTAGTCCTGTTTATTGATCATTGAAACCCTCGAGGAGGACTTCTGATCAAGATGGTGGTGTAGGCAGACATGGCTCACCTCTTTGCACAACTGCATCAAAATTACAACTAAAATATAGAACAACCATCACTCAGAACCATCAGAAACTGAGCTGAATGGAAGTCTGAAAACTATGTAATTAAAGAAACCACATTCATCTAGACTGGTAGGAGGGGCACAGACACAGAATGGGCTGGTCCCTCCCTCACCCATGTGTGGTGGATAAAAATTCGGGAGAGATATCTCAGGAGTGAGGAGTCCCAGCCCCAACCAAGCCCCCCTGCCCAGGGTTCCAGTGCCAGGAAGATAAGTCCCCACAACTTCTGGCTGCAAAAACCAGCGGGGATTGAATCAGTGAGAAAAACTTCTGGACCCCCAGGCAGTTCCTCTTAAAGAACCCATACACAGACTCACCTACTCAGACTCATTCCCTCTGAGCTCTAGGAACAGGGTAGTAGCTTGAAACTCCCCAGTGACATACAGGGAGAAACTGGTGTCTGGCATCAAGGTGAGCAGAGGCTGTTCTCCCTTTTCTGAACCCTCGTCCCACAGAGCCACAGAGCCAGCAAGTTCATGTCATATCTGAGACTCCATCAACCTGGCTAACACTGTGTGACCACCTTGGAGATCCCAGAGACTCCACTCAACCCAACTTACGGGCCAATCCAAGCTTCTTTTACATATGAATGACTGTTCTTGGCTCATGCTTTACAACTTCCTAAATCCTCTCAAGCAAGTAACAGCTGGCCTCAGTGAGCCCTGGGTCCAGCACTAAAATCAGCTAGCCTACATTCACAGCCTGGCTTCACCTGGGAATCTCTAAGCCCAGCACAAGTAGCAGCCATCTTGGATTGCTTTATAGCATAGGCAGTATGACCTTAAGCAAAACAGAGGGGGGGGGCTGAGCTTGACCCCCGCCACCTGGCAAACACCAGGGCCAGTGGACCCAGTGGGCAGCTAAAGACCACGATGGGGCACCACCATCCAGACTCTGCACATTTGATCCTCCAGAGAGGGAGGAGTTTGGTAATAAATGATCACAGCCAATCCTTGCTGCTGACTGGCCTGGGCAAATCACTCCCATTGATCTGCCAACAGCAACCAAGACTCAACTATAAGAGGAGGGTATGCTCAGCCCACATGAAGGGTACCGCTCGAGTACCCAGCTTGGGTGATAGGGGAGGCTGTGCCAATGGACCCTAAGGACATCTACTACATTAGGCTACATTACCAAGACATGGAGTCAAAGCAGCTCTACCTAATACAGAGAAACAGACACAGGGAGGCTGACAAATGAGGAGACAAAGAAACATGGCCCAAATGAAAGAACAGATCAAAACTCCAGAAAAAGAAATAAACAAAATGGAGATAAGCAATTTACCAGATGCAGAGGTCAAAGCACTGGTTATAAGGATGCTCTAGGAACTTAGTGAGGACCTCAGCAACATAAAAAAGATCCAGTCCGAAACAAAGGATTCACTAATTGAAATAAAGAACAATTTACAGGGATATTACAGTAGAATGGATGAAGCCAAGAATCAAATCAATGATTTGGAACATAAAGAAGCAAAAACAACCAAACAGAACAACAAGAAGGAAAAAGAATCCAAAAAAATGAGGATAGTATATGCAGCCTCTGGGACAACTTAAGAGGTCCAACATTCACATGATAAGGGGTGCCGGAAGGAAAAGAGAAAAAGCAAGAAACTGGAAATCTATTTGAAAAAATAAGGAAAGAAAACTTTCCTAATTTGGTAAAGGAAATACACATGCAAGTCCAGGAAGCACAGAGAATTCCAAATGAATTAGATGCAAAGAGTTCCACTCCAAGACACATCATAATTAAAATCCCTAAGAGTTAAAAATAAAGAGAGAATCTTAAAATCAGCAAGTGAAAAGAAGTTAGGACCTACAGGGGAGTTTTCATAAGACTGTCAGCTGATTTCTTAAAAGAAACTTGGCAGGCTAGGAGGGATTGGCAAGAAATATTTAAAGTCATAAAAAGCAGGGACCTACAGCCAAGATTGCTGTACTCAGCAAAGCTATCATTTAGAATGAAAGGGAGATAAAGAGCTTCCCAGACAAGAAAACACTAAAGGACTTCATTATCACCCAACCATTATTATATGAAATGTTAAAGGGAGTTATTTAAGAAAAAGATGATCAAAACTATGAATAATAAAATGGCAAAAAATGCAAATCTATTAGCAATTGAACCTAAAAACTAAGCTGAGCAAACAAGAGCAGACAGAATCATGGATACAGAGTGAAGTTTGATGGTTGTCAGATGGGAGGGGGTTGTGGGTGAATGGGTGAAAAGGTGAGGGGGTTAAGAAACACAAATAGGTAGTGACAGAATAGCCTTGGGGATATTAGTGCAGTATAGGACATGGAGTAGTCAAAGAACTTATATTGACACATGGACATGAACAATAGTGTGGGGATTGCCTGAGGGAATGGGGGATGCTGGGTGGAGGGCAGCAAAGAGGGAAAATTGGGACAACTGTAACAGCATAATCAATAAAATAAAATAAAAAAAAGAAACCATTGGATTCACTGAACTAATGTATGAGGGTACCCCACTGTGTACCAGTGGGGACCTTCTGGCACACTGGCCCTTGCTCCTAAAATGAGAAAAAATGGTCTCACGTACGTCTTCACCAACTGAAGGTACACTTTGTTGACCTTGATGTCAATGTCCTGGACTTGGAGGTTGACACATTGGGTGCTGTTTATGGAAATCCCAATTTTCAGAGTCATGTCCCCATTCACCTGAAATCCCAGGAGGCTGATAACAGGTCCTAATAGGCTGTGGACAACAAGACACAGGTGAAACCAGAACTGGCTGCAGGATATTGCTCAGCCTAAGTGGTGGGCGTTTTGGGAGTGAGCCTCATGGGTGTGGAGTGAACCTCCAGGTTTTAGAGACAGGGAAAGGTTGGTGCTTCCCATGAGCATGACAGTGCCCTGTACATGAGATTCAGAGCCTGGTTCATGGCAGGCATTGCATTAAACACTGACAAATCCCTCTCTTGGCCAAACTTCAGGAAGTCTTCTTTTGCCAGAGGCACCAGGCTGCCTTGTATCTAGATGCCCATCACAGGTTCACATTTGTGCCTAGCACCTGGGCTGTCTGTTGTGTGGGTGACAGCATAAGAAAGACCCTCTGTATACCAGAACCAGGTCTCATTAGCACTGAATGTTCTGGAGAAGACAAATGGCTCTTCCTGCACCTGCTAGTTGTATTGGTCACAGACATGGGTTCTGGAGGCAGAATGCCTGGATTCAAAGGCTTTCCCTACCATATCTCAGCTGTGTGACTGTGAGCAAGGTTTGTAACAGGTTTGCTGGTCTGATTTGGTTTCCTAATCTTGAGACAGGGCTACTTTTCTGATGAGGTCATCAAGAGGTTTCAGGAAGGTGAGAGTGCCTCAGTTAAGTGCCTGGGTGGAGCTGGGTCAGTGAGAGGTATCTGTGCTGTGTGTGTTAGTGCAAGCAGTCTTCTTCTTCCCAGTGTGGACTCCTGCCCCTCTCCTGTCTTCCTGTGTGCCCTGGGCCTATATGTTAACCTGTTCTTCCCCCACATGTTGACTCTCACTGGCAGGGAGCACTTCTAGTCGTCCCTCTGTGCCCAGCATGGCACCTGGTATGGAGTAGCATTTATTAACTACCTGTTAGGTGGGTGAGTGAACGTGTGCATGCACACATTTACTTTGTTAACTTCCTGAGTGCTGTTAAACATGTCTGTCTCTGCCAGCTGCCTAGGACCGTGTGTGTAACTGTGGGCTGATTCTCCTTAGAGAGTGCAGATTATCTGGAAGGTGTACTTCCCGAAATTCCAGTGGTATCAGTACAAGATGCACTAAGCTGTTTCTCTCTGTGTTGGCCATCTGTATAAATGTGCATATTTCACAAGGAAATGTGTATTTCTGATTGACTAACACTCTTTGAGGGTGGAGCTTTTATGGGGTCCTTGTCCTGCCTTGGTCCTGTGGGCTGGAGAGGGGGACTGCTGTGCCTGGTGCCTAATCTGCCCCACCCTCAGACATCCCGCCTTACTCTGTGCTGTCTCTGCCTGGCCCTTGAACACTGGATATGAAGGGCCTGGTCCAGGCCAACCCAGCTGGCTGAGTGGGAGACAGTCTCACCCTTTTCCACCAACGAAGGCAGTAGTTGGGGCTTGGACAAGGATGCCATTGTCTGTCATCGCTGACATCATGTTGTCCACCGTTGCTTTTTGAACCTCTAATCTGCAAAGTGACAGCATCCATGGTCAGTTCTGGCTCAAGGACTCAGCCTGAGCTGCAGGAAAAATGCCTTTGAAGTAGTCAGTTAACAACCTACCAACCCATCCATCCCCTGGATTCTCCAGTCCTGTTACTCACCCAGTTCTTTAAACCCAAGAAATCCTTCTCCTATTACCCAACAAAGGGCAGACTTTTAGCCCAGAGCTGTAATATTATTTTGTGAAAACATGGATGTCTCTGTCCATGGGATCCATTATGGGAAGATGAACTTGAGTATCCCGATCTTAAGCCTTCTCGTGTGCCATACCTTAGGGTCAAGGAAGCACTTACCCTAGCAGGAGATCCTTCAGGTTCACACCTCCGAGCAGGCCTGAGAGCGCATCAGTGACACCACCTGGCACCACACTGTTCAGTATGCCCTCGGTGGATTCTGTGAGCCCGCCCACTGTGTTGAGCACACCACTCAGGGGTTCACTGACTTGGTTGAGCACACCACTCAGGGGGAGATTAGAGAGAAGAGAAGAGCCAGCTTTCCTTGCAGGATCCCTCTTTGCACCATTGGGTAGTAGGCCTCCCAAGACCCCTTGGGCCACGGGTATCAGGTTACCAACAGCATCAGTGGCTTTGGAGAGTGATGGCAATGGGAGATTTGAGGACTCGCTGCTGGTCCCCTTGTCTGGGGGACCACTCTGGCCACCACCACCGAGGATATTGAGGGGGGAAGTGAGGTCTAACAGAGACAGCAAGTCCAAGTTGGACACTGTTTCTAACAGTGTCCCAAGCAAACCGGCCAGATCCACCTCTGCACACTTGAGCATCTCCTCAATCTGGGGGGGCAGGGTGCTGTTCAGATCTGAAATGGTAAAGAGACACGTTCTTACCATTAGCTGCCCAGCTGGTTCAGCCAGAGGAGCCTTCCCAGCTGGAGAGCCGGCACTGAAGGGTAGGGGGCCCATAGGCACTGTCCATCCTGCCTTCTAGACACACCAATCCAATCCCTGCTCTGCCCACCTGGAGGATGGCCTGGCCACCTAGAAATATACTAGTCCCTGTTAAGAGTTAACATTTGTTAGCACATTCCTGAGGCTGGCCTGGTGTGAGTATGTTACTCTGAAGTGACTTGGGCATGGAATGAAAGGACCCTGTTTAGCTTTTGAGCCCAGTAGCCTAGAATATAACCTAGGCCTGGCTCTGCCTCTTGAAGACCAAGTGACCTGAGGCAGGGTGTTCTGTTTCCTAAGCCCCAGTCTCTGCAGCCATCCATGCGTGTGTGATGGGACCTACAGTGTGGGTACTGGGTGCTGGATGAAATGAGTGAGGAAGTAGGTGAGGGGAGTGTTGGTGGAGCTGACAGTTCTGGAGTTTCCTGGTGTCCATCTGGGTGAGTCTATACAAGTCCCTTCCCTTCTGCAGGCCTCATTTTGCCCTTGTGTACCCTTGGGAGGTCCTGCATGTTGACACACTCCCTCTGCTGGACCTCCTGCATCAGCTCTCGTCCTCCTGGAACACTGTTATGGTGGGGGTGGAGCAGGTGCTAACCATAGGTTTGCCTTCACATGGGAGAGAAGCAAGTCAGGGAGAACTGGGACTTCAGAAGATGGTGGTGAGGGGAAGTACGGGTGTCAAGAGCCAAGTAGCAGAGCTGTGAAGTCGCAGGGTTCTATCCTGTCATGCTGCTCAGAACAGCTGTCACATCTGGAGGGTGGACAGCCTTGGCTGCCTAGCAAGAAAGTGAACTGGGCAGAGGGACAAGATTCTTGGCCCAGTAGAGTAGCAGAAAGAAGTGTGCTGGTATCAGCCCCTGTCCAGCTGCTGGGCCATGGCCTGTGGAGCCTGCCCACTGCTTCCTGTGCCCAGGGCTCCTCAGTCTGGAGGACCCTTGCCTGTTAGGGTGATGTGGATACACCTCCATCCCTGGTATGTCTCAGAGAATGTCTTGCACATGTGAACCTGGAGACCCGCTCAAGAGTGTTTAGGTCAACATTGCTTAGAGTAGCACACAGTACATGAAAGCAAAGTTGATGTGTAAATCGTGAGGATTCATCAGGTAGAATATTGCAGTGAAAATGAATGGGCGAAAATTTCCCATTACAGCATAGATGATTCACCTCAAATGTAAGTAGGAAAGACAATGCAAGAAGGCCACTTTTTGGAAAACTTTATAGCATGTAGTGAAATTTTAGATTCAGAATTAGCAGCCACATGTGGTAGAATATGAAGAATGGCAGTGTAGAATTGATCAGGCTGGAGGCCTCTTCTGGAGGGAAGGAGAGAGGAGAAGGGAAAGATACGCAGCCCAGTAGGGGTTGTGGGGCTGTTAGCTCTATACCTGGTTTTATTCTTCTTTTTAGAGAGAGAGAGAGAGAGAAAGGGAGAGAGAAACATTGATGTGAGAGAGAAAGCATCAGCTGGTTGTTTCCCTTACCTGAATGGATCTGTGATGTACATACCTGGACTGGGACCAAACCTGTAACCTAGGTATGTACTTTGATCAGAAATCAAACCAGCAACCTTTCAGTTACAGGACGACACTCCAACCAACTGAGCTACATGGGTCCAGGGGGTTTTATTCTTAATGTAGATGTTAGTTACCAAGGTGTTTGCTATGTATACCTTTTCGGTTTTTGTATGTTTGACAATGAAATTCACCGCCGCCACCACCAGACACTGCCTGATGAACACACAGCTGTCCTCTGCACAACTGTCTGAGCTTTTCTGTATATGTGAAGTAATCTGTAATAAGAAGGGATGGTGGAGGAGTGGAGCAGATGTTCCTGAGGTAGTGCAGTGGCGGGGAGCTGTGAGGCTGGGCACTGCAGTCAGCAGGCAGGTGCCAAGTTTCCCTCTGTCACCCTGTCCTGTCATGCTGGAAGGCCGACCTAGGCCATGGCTTCAGAAGGCCATTAAGGGGAGCCATGTGGACTTTCCTGCTGGCCTTTATCTGATGGTGATTCTTATTCCCTTCCCGTTCCTCATAGGGAGTCTCTTGCAATTCCTGACTCCTCTGCCTTCGGGCCCTAAGAGATTGCTGGGGGACAAAATTCCACATCTCCCTGAGGAGAAACCTGAGACTAAGGAATCTTGGGGACCACAATTCTGGTCAAGGGTTTAGGGATAGGCCTGGATTTCTTATTTTCTGGCTCCTGGTCAACCAGGTTGATGCTTTAAGCACCCATGGGTGTCTGGGATAAGCTCTGGAGCGCAGCATTGAGAAACAGATTTCCTGGCACAGTGTCCAGTTGATGAGAATCATGTGAAAGGAAAGCAACCAGAATTTGCTGGATCCAAGAGCTTTCTTCTCCAGGCTTGCTTTGGTGTGTGCTACCCAATGTGTGGACTGTGACAAGCAGCCTCAGCATCATCTTGATCTCATTAGAAACCAGTACTGCTGTGCTACTGCCACAGCAGAAGGTCTGGGAGTGGGGCCAGGCAGCTGCTTTCTTATCAGGCTCCCAAGGTGATTCTGATACCACCTCCTCTTCGAGAACAATTGTTCAAATGGTATAAGTAGACTTTGGACTTAGAAATGAGGAGCACAGGTGAGGGGTATGAAAATTAAAGGTATATTGGTGGAACAGTTCTTACTTACAGTCATTGAGTTGGCTGCTAGACATGAAGAACTTGGCCACAGGGACACAGCTGGGTTTTGGGGTCTCAGACAGATATTTTATGGATGGAGATCCTTTTGGAATTGGGGGATATCTGGGGAACTGTCCAGATTGTAGAATGGGTCTTCTTCCAGAAAGATTTGGCAACCCAGAAGGAAGGCTCAGTGGGTCAACTGCTGCTGCCTGGACAGCCAGTGTGGTGACCAGGGCCCAGAGGGTCAGCATCTTGGCAGCTGATATCTGCAAAGGAGGGAGGGCTTCGTCAGACTCCACATTCCCAGTGGACCAGAGGGCTGCCAGTATGTTTGTACTGGATGTACATGCAAGGTCCTAGCTGTTGTAGGAGGGTGCCATTCACATGGTAGATATTGTAGTTTGCATAGTGTATTCAAAGGACAATGTTTCAGCCCATGGCAGTCAGTGTCTTGAGAAGGGCTTCCATTGACTTCTATTTGACCTTTGCATAAAGGTGTGTATGGACTGGTGGCCCCCTTTGAGTACAGGCCACACCTTTCCCTGAAGGGTCCCACATTCTCTTGCCAGTCTTTGAGCCAAACATCCTTGAAGTGGTCTGAGTCACCTCTGGGGAACTGGACAGTGTTGAGTGATCCAACTACAAGTGGTGGTCAAGGTCTCTCCCTGTTTCAGGTCAGGCAATATATAGCGGTTTCTTTGTTGGTGTGAGCTTATCAACGGCCCATTCCTTTGTGGAGTATGAATGGATATCAGCTGCTTTAAACTGTCTGCACACCCCCTGAGGGGAGCCTGTGTCCTCATTAAGCAGGTGGTGAAACTTGTGTAGAGCAGGCAGTTATGCTTGCCTGTGCCCATTGTCCAGCCCCCTGGTAGTTTTGTCTGGTCAGGAGTAAACCACCTAATCAGCCATTCCCAGGTTTGGGAAACCACCTGCCACCTCTTTGGTTATTGGGCTGTCCTGTCATTTTAGCTCAGTGTGCAGAGGCCAGAGTTACCTCCCTGTGTAAGCAGCTCAGGTCTACTCTGTCTTTCTAAGGACCGTCATTGTGTTTTGGGCCAGCACTGGCATGGTTCGACAGTGGCATTAGCCAGTTCACACTATTGCACTAGTATCTGGCACAAAGTGGGCTCCCTGTGTATGAAGTGAATGATTGTGTTAACCAGGCCATCCACCTGCTGTGGCCCCTTCTGTGTGCAAGGCCATGTGTGGTCCTACTGACCCCTGGCCATGCAGCCTTTTTCCCTTGGCTGGAGTTGAGCAGCCGTAACTGGAGCGCTTGTGTAAGTGTGTGAGTGTCAAATCCACCTCTGTTGGTTGGGTGTGTCCATGCATATCCACTTACTAAGTACTGGCCAGGGTGCAAACATCTGTAATGTCTTATATAATCCTCCCAGCAAGTCCTGGCCCTTGGTAGTGCTATTACTCCCCTTTCCAGCAAAGGCACAGAGCTGGCTTCTCTCCTGGGCAGGAAAGCCCGTCTGACTCTGAGCTCAACTCTGTGACTCAGTGGAGGTCACTCCTTTCCTGACTGTCAGAGTCCTCCCTTCCTGTGCCTCTCAAAGTCCGTCTGTCTCTAGCACTTTGGGTGACATGGAGGCTTGTGTCTGAGGGCCTTTTCCCTCAGTGAAGCAAGTAGTCTCTGGAGTTCTTCTTGCTGTGGGTAGGTAGGTGCTGACCACACCACACTGCTTGTCATTCACCAGTGTCACCAAAGACCCCCTCTTGCAGAAATGTTGGGAAGGACATAATGGGAAGCTGGTGACAATCCTTCACATCGAACAAATTAGGCTTTATGAAAAAAAATCATCGGGGGACTTCCGGCAAGATGGAGGCATAGGTGGATGCACTGTACCTCCACACACAACCAAGATTAGAACAACAACAATTTAGAGGTAGAATAACACCCAGAACTGATAGAGAATTTATCTGAATGGAAGTCGGACAGCCAAGAAGTTGAAGTAGACCCGTTCATCCAGACTGGTAGGAGGTGCGGGATGCAGCATGAGTCTTGGCGTGGAGAGCAGAAAGCAGTGGGCGCATAAGGCAACCGGGAGCGCATAAGGCATCCAGGGTGCGCAGGATCGCAGCGGGTAGACCTTGAGTACGCGAGCGGCAGCTGGCGGACCGAGTGAGGTGGTGATTGTGGACCGGGACAGAGCGTGCAGCCTGGGATTCCAGGGAAGGGACTGTGGTCCCAGGAAAGCGGAGCTACCGCCATTGTTCCCTCCCGCCCCTGCCCCTACATACGATATCACAATCTAGCGACTGGGGTGCCCAGCCCCAGTGAATACCTAAGGCTCCGCCCCTCACCATAACAGGAGTGACCAGACCAAAAAAAAGAGAGAGAGAGAGAGAGAGAGAGAGAGAGAGAGAGAGAGAGAGAGAGAGGGAGACATGTCTCAAACAGAAGAACAGATCAATGCCCCAGGGCTCATCCTTTTGAGTGACTAAGAGGTAGCCAATCTATCAGATGCACAGTTCAAAACACTGGTGATCAGGAAGCTCACAGAATTGGTTGATTTTGGGCACAAATTAGATGAAAAAATGCAGGTTACCATAAAAGAGATGAAGGAAGATGCATGGAGAACCAATAGTGATGGGAAGGAAACTGGGACTCAAAACAATAGAGTGGACCAGAAGGAAGAAAAAAACAACCAAACAGGAAAGAATGAAGAAATAAGAATAAAAAAAAAACCAAGGAGAAGCTGAGGAACCTCCAGGACATCTTTAAACGTTCCACCATCCGAATTATAGGGGTAGCAGAAGGGGAAGAGGAAAAGCAACAGATTGAACACGTATTTGAACAAATAATAAAGGAGAACTTCCCCATTCTGGCAAAGGAAATAGACTTCCAGGAAATCCAGGAAGCTCAGAGAGCCCCAAAGAAGTTGGACCCAAGAAGAAACACACCAAGGCACATCATAATTACATTAGCCAAGGTAAAAAATGAAGGAGAGAATCCTAGAAGCAGCAAGAGATAAGGGGACAGTCACCTACAAAGGAGTTCCCATCAGACTGTCAGCTGATTTCTCAAAAGAGACCTTACAGGCAAGAAGGGGCTGGAAAGAAGTATTCCAAGTCATGAAAGACAAGGACCTATATCCCAGATTACTCTATCCAGCAAAGCTTTCATTTAGAATGGAAGGGCAGATAAAGTGCTTCTCAGATAAGGTCAAGTTGAGGGAGTTCATCATCACCAAGCCCTTATTTTATGAAATGTTAAAGGGACTTATCTAAGAAAAGAAGATAAAGAAAACACATGTATAGTAAAAGGACAGAAAACTCACAATGATTAACAACCACACCTAAAGCAAAACCAAAAGAAACTAAGCAAACAACTAGAACAGGAACAGAACCACAGAAATGGAGATCACATGGAGGGTTAGCAACAGGGGAGTGGGAGGAGGAGGAGTGGGAGGAGGAGAGAGGGGGAAAAGGTACAGAGAATAAGTAGCATAGATTGTAGGTTGAAAATAGATAGGGGGAGGATAAGAATAGTATGAGAAATGTAGAAGCTAAAGAACTTATAAGTATGACACATGGACATGACTAAAGGGGGGGATATGGGTGGGAGAGGGTGTACAGGGTGGAGAGGAGTGAAGGGGGGAAAATGGGACAACTATAATAGCATAATCAATAAAATATATTTTAAAAAATCATCACATGCTCATTATTCATTAATTTTGTGCTCATCTGTGAGAAACTGGCATTTACTGTCTCAGGTGACATGTAAGTATCCTGTGAGGAAAAATAAGACAATTCTGTGCCTGTGACTGAGTTGGTGGCAATATTGGTAGACACTGTCTTCAGTGGGACCCTTTGAGAATCCCAGTCACAAATCCCCATTTTCTAAAAGCAGAGGCACAGCCGTCAGTTGTGACAGCTGGCGTGCTAGGCAGAGTGCTGCGTGCATTTCAGCCAGGAAGGGGCCTGGCTGAAGAGATTCCAAATGCAAACCCTACTGTTGTGCTTTGATGAATCTCCTATGCTTGTTTCCAGCTCCAAATTTTGACCCGTTCTTTCATGAATTTGATTCAGTGAGCTCTTACCTTGCCGGGTGTAGATGAGTCGGTGTTGATGGGTGCACGTTTTCAGAAGCCGCCTCTCCTCCTGGTGTTGTCTGGATCTGTCAGGTGAAAAACCACATCCTACTTTTATAGACCAGTGTGTCTTGGAAAGTCATCAGACATGAAGACATGTGGTTCAAGTGTGCTAAGGGTGACATGCTACAGGCTGATTTCCAAGATGGGTACCTGCTAATGGTTGTGACATTTGTCTGTGTCTCTGTGAGAAATGTTCATGGTGCCTGGCACTTTTTCAGAGGGGGCATGCTGGCCAGGTACTGTCCCCTCCCTGATTTCAACCTTTACAGGCCTGTTATCTCTGAGTTGTGCAGCAGTGGTCGAATGGCAAAGTAGAGCCGTCTGTGAGGCCGCAGGTGCCCTCTCACTGAGAGCCCTTTAATGAAGGTGCAGCACTGTGTCCATAGTTGGCACTCAGCACCGAGCGACCAAACTAGCGTGGGGACCCGAGGAGAGGACGTGGGGTTGCTTTGGGCAGGGTGTCCCCCTGACATTTTATATCAGGTGTGTATAGGAAGTATGCAAATGTGCAAATATTTGGGAGTGAAGGGATGGATGCCTGAGGACTGGAGACGTACAGGGCGTCTGCAGTGGGTGCAGCATGACTGCAGGCCTGGGGGGGCTTGTCAGCATGGTTGCTCTGTCCTGAGCCCGGCCTGCTTTCCTTTCTGCGCTGGTTTTCCTCTCACGTGCTCCTTATTTAACGGCTCCTAAACTCCCAGAGCCCATGCCCTGGGCCTCAGGCTTTCCCCAACTGAAGAGGGCTATTCACGGTCATCTGTTCAGTTCCTACCACTGGAATTTTTGTCATTTTGTACATCCTGTCACAGTCCTGCTGTGTGGTGTCATCACAGCTTTAGGAGACCATAGCCTGGGAGAGGGAGATGACTCTGACAAAGCGTATGGTTAGTGTCTGCTTCTGCTCTCTTGAAGTGGGGGAGTTGGTTGGGTCCCTGCCTTGGAGCAGGCTCAGCATGGCTGCTGCCTGGCCCGCCCCCAGCCCACTGTGGTCCTCATGCTGTGAACCTCCAGTGCAGTTCCTGTTGCCAAAGGCCCTGTTTTGGGCTTTGTTGTAACGTCAGCTACAGAGAACAAATGGCAGATGACCTTTCCTCAGGGAGCAGAACCAAGCATTTTCACACGTGTTGATAAGTGGAGACAAAGCC